CATTTGAAAAAAGTTTCATTCGAAAACCTCAAACCATGAAGATTCTATGAAAATTCAAAGAACCTATTGCAATAAAACGGCAATTTCATACTTTAACCCCTAATATTTGTCCGTTTTTTCGTTGACGAACTTCGAGAGTGGTCTCGTAGATCTTCCGTATAGGCAAACGGCCGCAACTACCGATTTCGTGCTTTTAGATAGTTTTGGATAGTGTACCGGAGTGAATGAGGATGTTCTGGTATTTATAGTACAAGGATATCCTAATATAAGACTAGAGAGTTGGTGAACCAGACTAGATAACCATTATAGGCGCTACAGAACTGCTATAGGCTTATATTATACATTGCAGTAGCTGTAGAGCTCCTTGTGAAAGAGTTTGTCCCGGGAAGTACTGCCAACCTTACCTATTTCTGCCGCCAAGCAGTGATGTCTGCATTACTGTGTTCCGGTTTTGAAGGGTAAGGGTGCTGGTGAAATTACAAACACATGGGATTTGTCAACTTATATCTCATGCTGAAGAGTGCTGTGGAGGTGCCCCTCAGATCCTTGCCATTTCAAGCTCTGAGTAGCACTGCAACTGCTCGATTTTAATCGTCCCGTCAGTTGATATCAAAAAAAAAATACAGGCACGTCATAAGCGTTATACCCTTAGTCATGTGTCAACATATATTGCATGCAGAATTTTTTTTACCGACTCATCCTACACTTGTATTGTCTATTTCATTTTGTACGCGCTCAAACTTGACTTAAACAAATCGATTAGGTAATGAAACTATTTTTCTGGATTTAAATCGCGTATATTTGGTTTTTCAAATATACGCGATTTAAATCCGGAAAAATTGTTTCATTTCCTATGTGTAACAATCGCGAAAACCTAAGAACTCGAAATCGATCAGGTCTGTGTTTGCTATTTTGGATTTTTCTAAAACAGAATTGTACATAAATCTTCACTCTTATCTAGACACGCAGCAGTTTATCAGCCAACTTCAGAACAAAAACGGGCAGGCACTCGCTGTGTATATTAAATTTCAAGCACTTTTCTTTTAAAAATATTAATTATATTTCGTGCACTATTTTTTTATTCAAATGTTATTTATTTAATGGGAAACCAACAATTTCAAAATTAATCTTCTTGTTGGTTTTCTTATCGTATCGATGGAATCATTATTATCAAGTAGCCTCTAATCCATTCGTCTTCGGATATAGGCCTCCTCCATATCTCTCAATTTACGTTGCTCCCATGCCACACGCATCCAGTTGCGGCCTTGGAAAAATTTTATATCATCCATCCAACCTCCGCCGCGCGTGTTGGCCCATGATCGCCACTCCATGATCCTTCTTGTCCGCCGATCTAGATCCATCCTAGCTATGTTTCCAACCCATTTCCATTTCATCGTTTCAATTTTGCGTATAACGTCCCCAGTTTTAGTTATCCGTCGAATACAGTCATTCAGTATACGATCGAGCGATAAATACACTGTAATATCAAAAAATGTATTAAGGGAAAAGCTACAAAAACGATTTTCCGTATTTTTGTTCTTGAAAAACGAATATATTTGTTTTCCTTTGATAACAGTGGTAAGATAAGAATAAAAAAAAAATAAGAAATTACAAAACACTGTACAGTGACTTGCAATGTTATGGATTCACACGATAGAGTAGTTAATATGTAGTTGAAAAACAGCTTGGTTATCGGCAAAGATACTGGGCCACATACGAAACTTTTTTTTTAAATTTAGAAAAAATATAAATAAAAAAGTGATCATAAACTTTTTCCTCATTCAAGAAATTACAGTACATAAAGGAAAACATCATGAGAAATGATGACAAATGGCATTTCTAAATAATATGGTAATAATTATATTATAAAATAATTATGTTTCGTGTATAAGCGCAAGGTTTCTTATAAAAAATTTTCCGTTTAATCATTGTAACACATGTTTCTTTAAGTTTTTTATAGTGCAAGTTTTGAAATAAATTATGTATGTAAAGTTAGAAAGCTTTAACTTTTATGTGAATACTACGATTAAAAGAAACGCAATAATTATATAAATTTAGTGATTTTTTTGAGATTTCCTTTATGCTTTGCTTACAAAATGTAGCTGTCTAATGCTAAAAAAATACAGAAGTCGGTGTTGTGGCGCAATCGCGTGCAGTTCGTATAACGTATAACTACGCACCTATGTCAATTAAGATGTCAAGTACCTAAGACTACATAAGTGCTGCCATTTATGGAAACCAATTATGTGCAGCTATGAATATCTTGCGGATGCAGAACACGAGCAATTATATTACATATTGCATAGGTATTTATTTGTTTATAGAACAACAACGTTATAATACGAGGAATTTCACTGTAGTTGTAATCGTCACTATGACTGAATATCTGCTGTACGTAAATGACATGTGCAATATATTCAGAAACGGCTCTGTATACCAATTTGCTGACGATACTTGTATATTAACAGCTCATAAAGATATAGAGGTGGCGCAAAACATGATGCAAATAGAATTTGATACATTATGTAAATAGGCACATGATGTGGGATTACCCATAAATTATAATAAAACAAAATTAATGCACATTCATTCACCATACTTAAAAGTGAACATCATCCCCCGAATAGTGGCCCATGATCACCAATGTATGCATTTGCAATGCACACCCTGTAGCTGTGAAGCACTGGATTTTGTCAAAAATCACACCTACTTAGGATTAAAAATTGATCATAAGTTTTGTTGGGGTCCTCACGTAGATCATGTATGTAATAGATTAAGAGCAATTCTGGCAAATATTAGTGTTCTAAAATGTAAGATGCCATACAACACATTGAGGCTACTTTACTTGTCAATGGCGGACTCTGTTATAAGTTATGGGTTGTCTAGTTATGGCAGAACTTTCAAAACATATCTTAAAAAAATTTATCAATTACAAATAAGACTACTTAAGAAAATTGTACCATTAAAAATTAAACACAAATATAAAGATAACTATGAGAAGCTATTTCAATACTGTAAAGTGTTCAATGTGTATGATAAAGTAGATCTTGCTATAATATCCGAATACCAAGGGAAAATTCAATGTCTAGAAAAAGAAAATAGATTACCAAGATTAAGATTATTGCCTAACATTCGAACATTTAAGGTCCCAAAGTATAACAATGTGTATGGTAGGAGAATGTGGTCTTTAGTACTGCCAGATGTTTTGAACAGAGTCCCAAAGGAATTAGTACAAAGAATAGAGTCATCAAACAAAAAGCTATATAGTAAAGTACTAAAACATTTGTTTAAGGGTAATATTAAATAAGAGATGTGTGTAAGTTTAGCTAATAAAGGTCGCTGTGGAGGGGACGATGCGTAGAGGACATAATTTTAAAATATAAAAATTCTTACTCTTTAGCATTAAGTTAGTTTTAATTTATATTATTTTTTCTGAAATAAACAGCTTAAAATTTAATTTAATTTAATTTAATGACTGGGAAAAACCATACTAAGATTCGGACAGGATATCCGGTACCGATTACTTTTTTTTAGATACCAAGTGACAGGACGAATAAGTCGTACGCCTGGCACCATTTAAAGCCACTGCGCCCGTCACCCCGAAACAAGTCGACAAGCCCATGTGCCCGTAAATTCACCAGTACCCTAATTACCCTTTAAAACCTAAACGCAGTACGTATTAGATAAAGATGTATGGAAAGACAACAAGAATCTAGATTCCACACAATTATGATTCAAAGTGTATTCCATAGCATTTAAGTTTATTTGAAAAGAGCAATCCTTAAAGTTTCTTGCTCGTTCTTCTCAGGGAGGTCAGCGTAGCAAACGAGTGGAAGCTTAAAAAAATGAAATTTTCAAGTGTAAAAACTTTAGTTAGGGAATAAATGATTATTATATATATTGACATTGACATTGCTCACATTCTGTTTGGTGGCAGAAATAAGTAAGTTGGCAGTACTTCCCTGGCCGAACTCTTTCACCAGGTGTTTTACTGCTACTAAAACATCAACGAGAGTTCTGTAAATAATATCTTTTTCAAACTTTGTAATGTATTTATTTATAATACTACCAATAGAATATCTTCTGTGGTTGTAAGAGGGCCTTTATTTCCTAATTTACTATCTTAATGTTGCCTATTTCAATCTCCGATTATTAACAAATGAATGACTAACTTTTTTTTTTCATATTTAAATCGCCATCATTTCAAACAAACGTTAATTTGTTTCGCAAAAACCAGAGAGCGGTTATCGTTATATAGTATCATTAATATAAAGTGTCACGGCATACATGCGGTTAGCACAGGATCGTGGTGGATGACACAAACTTCGGGAGGCCTATACCCAGCTGTGGGTGAAACCAGGCTGTGAGGGGAATCTAAAACAATAGAGTACCTACACAGACTGTTACAGAAAAAAAATTGTTAGTTTTAATAAATTTACACATAAATACAAAATAAAATATTAATTCTCGAAAATTTTATGTATGTCATAATAAAAAAGAAATATAAAAAGAAACGCAAAACGATTTAAACGATATTTTCTTAATGTTCAATTAAAATAATTTACAAATTGGAATACTTGGTGAAAACAGTAAACTGCTGTCGTTGAAAAGATAACAAATCGAGAGTTTCTCAATGGTATAAGTACTTTTTTATTTCTTAGTTTGCAATCAATTGTATAGATGGTATTTCTTTGAATTATTCTCAAAACTTTAGCACTGACGTTTACTTTATAATATTAAAAATAGAAACTCAGCTTCTTTGCGATTTTATTATATGTTATTGTATGTAATCAACGCCTGAACAAGAGAAATAACCTTATACATATACAATTGCATCTCTGGTTTACTCGGTGCCATCTATTGATCAGCGTTGACAATTAAAATAAACATCTGAATAAGTGGAGTTACAAGTACGACATACTATGATTTATTATTGCTTTATTGCTACAACTTTAATATTCCTAGTATCTCCTCCCGAACCAAAAATATATTTTGTTGTTATCCATGATCTACAAATTACGCCAAAAACACATTTATTCGACACTCGTGTAAGTACTATAATGACAAACTGAAAAAAAAGAAATTTTTTCGTTATCATTGACGAGTTACAAGAAAATAGTGGGAGATATATTATTTTATAAGGGAACCCATGAATAAACTAAAACCAGTTTAGAATTATCTTTTAATTTTAGAATTATCTGTGATACAATTATGTTTTAGATGTTAATCAAAAGCATTATTTTTTTCGGCTTTTTAAACACATTAAGCAAGTTTTCACAGCTACACTAAAGCTATAAAACAAACAGAATGTAAGTATGTCTGTTTAGTAATAGCATAACTACACGTAAATGTAGTTAGCAGAGTCGTTTGTGGAAATCATTGTGTGACTGGACGGTGTAATAAAATAAAATTATATTATTACCATTGTTGTATCTCACTATATAAACAACCAGACACACAGTGTCTGTGTAGTGTGTATATAGTCATACATATATGTATATATATATATAATAAAAGTCATACATATATATTAATGACTAAATATTATCTGACTTGCCAATTACTGCATTTAATCAGCAACTGAAACATTTTCATTGGTTCTGGTTTGAATCTCTTGGATGGACCTAGGAGCGAATTTCGTTGCTCGGTACTCATAGTATAGGGGTTTTTTATGACACTGAGTGATGGTGCGAACAGCAGTGCGCCTGACGGTAAACGACACACCTGTCCATAACAATTCCAGTGCCACTCAGAGCTTTACATCGCAAAGATCTGAGGTGCACTACCTCTGCGCCCATGACTCTGAGACATTAGTTGAAAAGTCCCATGTGCTTGTAATTTCACCAGGACTTTTACTCTTCAAAACCGGAACGCAGTAATGTTCACATTACTGGTTGGCGGCAGAAATAGGTAAGGTGGCAGTACTTCCCTGGATGAACTCTTTCACAAGGAACTTTACTGCTACATTATAATTCTCTAGTTTGAGGTAATTGAGGTGGTTGTCTCTAGCACATGATTATAATTGGACGTAGTTAAACAAAAAGGATCCAATGCACTTCCAGTTTCGAGACACTTTCGAGAAATGGCAGTTCGAAGTTTAAAAGTGTTTCGCACTGTTTTATTTTCAAAACTTATAATGTCATGTAACTCCAGAGATATTTGTTTATATTTATGTGTTGGATTTGTTTTACTGATATAAGAGGTTAGACTTTAGGAACCGTTTGGTATACTTAACTCATTTTTTGATAATTTTCTGGATTGGATGCTTTTTGCTTAACTACGTCCAAATGTTATTCATGGAAGGGCTATATATAGAACCGTCATAATTATACGTGTAACCTCCGTTATAGGTGTTTAATTAAGACACTTTGTAAGAAAAAAAGTTTAAGTATACGTAAATTATGAACACAAAATACATTTACAAATCTTTAATCGACACTCTTTAGTACATGCGACACGTATTTTATGTTTAATTTTGTATGGGCTGAAAATGGTTTTAATCCAATCGGTTAGTCTTAGTTTTTATTCATAGCTTTAAATTGCAAACCTCCGAGTGACACTACAACTGCTATGAACAGGCGTGTCCCCTACCACCAGGTGCACCATTTGTTCATTCCGTAACCACCTGATACCGATATCAGCAAAAAATGTCATTTTCAATAAAATTGTATTTCTTTTTTTATGAAGTCAATATTGCTGGCTAAATATAAGTCCACTGATCTCCCCTAAGTCGGTGTTGTGCATCGAGTACATAACCAGAAATAGAGACGAATTATCATTTACTTTGTTTGAAAACTATTCTGCCGTATAATTACTGTGACAACTGCGCTCCGATTGGCCAACCCGAATTCGAAACAATTGACGGGTGTCATCAATGGGTGTCAATTCTTTCACTTCAAATCGACCACTTAACTTGAGCTTTACTATAATAGACGAAAATTGCAAAATTACATGTTTAATATTTAATTATCGATGAAATTAGATTCCGTCTGTTTTAGAATAGATAGATATTTTGCTGTTTTTCTCCACACTACCAAATGGAACAGCACGCCATTGTTAGAGATATTATCTTTATTACAATACAAAATATTTTTTGGAATATACGGAGACGTATATACAGGCCAGTTGTTGGCGCTGTCTATATTTCAGTGCAAACGAAAGTTGATATTTATAAGTGATGTATCACTGATGAGTTACCAGGAATTTATGACCCTTATTTCGTCTCTATTTCTGGTTATATACTCAATGGTGTTGTGTTAACTAAGTCTAGTTAGTAACATCAACCGGCGTATTAGGCCTCATTAGCAAAGTCGAAATGTTGTTCCTTTGCTCATGGATATAGCTCTTCTACAGGGAGTATAATATTGAATATTATATCGTTTCAGCCCGGAATATGCTAGAACGACTCTTCATTTTGGCAAGAGGTTCAGTAGAAAATACTAAAAAGAAGATTGACAAATTGTTGACTTCCCGAGGAATTATGCCAGAATTGTCTCTTAACAGAAATGTGGACGAGTTTTCAGAGTTTTGGGATTGCATGTAAGTAATTATTTTTATGGTTATTTATTACAGCAAAGATTTAGATACGCCAATTCTAAACCACGTCTATGCGTTTGCGATTGTAACGTATTATAAATACGTTTAACCGCTTACGGAACTTATGATGTTATGTCTTGTGCTACCTGTGATTATGCTAGCTCTTCTTGACCGTCAGAGGTGGTGGATTCAAAAAACCCCTACCAAAAGTAGCTGTGGCCTAGCCTTAGTGAAAAGAAAGAAAAGGCTCGGTCTACATAAATTTTATATACCTACAAGAAGAAACAAAAGGGCTGTAGCAATAAAATGATATAAAAAAATCCAATCAGTATAAAAGACTCCCTACTAAACAATCCAGACATTTACCGCAAGGGGTCTATAAGTTATGTATATCTAATGATTTAAAAATAGTAAAATACGTGAAGTTTGAGTTTTACACGAGGATGATCCGTGAGTACGTCCTCTCACTTTGGGAGCTTTGGTGGGAGTAATGACGGAACGAACCAACACAAGAATAGTGGAAGAAAAAAGGAATTCAAGAACGATTAAAATTTTTAAAATAAGTGTCCAGAAACCAGTATAGACGGTGATAGAAAGGTGGAATGACGATGAACGAGGTCAGCATCGCTTTATAGCTCAGCTGTGCAGTCCATTTTTGTTCCATTTCTTTCATATTATTTCATTTTATTTACAAAAATCAAATATAAAAATCAAATTTTGGTACAGAATACAGACATGATTTCTGATTGTTATTATTTGTAATTGTGTTATTAAAAAAAATAATTAAGAGAGTCTGATATTCAGAAGATTTTCTCTTCACTCGAAACAAACCTAGGATATCTAGTAAAGGTTTCCATTATAAAGAAACCTGCACATCATAAATACAGATTTAGAAACTTTACAATAGAAGACTCAATGCAATCAGACAGGATAGTGAATTGTGGCCTAAATCCTTGCCCCGGTGTCCACCCTTATTCACGCAAAAGGACGTATAATATGGGTTGAAAGTTGTGAAATTATTTTGGTCATTATAAAATTATGCTATTTACTGACTTCTTCGTTTCAGAAACTACGTGCCTCTTCCTAAGCTCTGTCGTACAGACCAATCCAGGGTAATGATAACTCAGTTCACGACTAGCAAACTTGATGACTTTAGCCTTCTCACTTACTTCAGATATTGTTTTATGGTGAGTTTGTTTAGAGCAAAGCCGTGTAACAATTTTAGTCTATTGTTAATAACTGTCATCGTTGATGTTGCTTTCTCTAACGCAATCCAAGCTTCATGTGTAGCCTTAATCAACGTCATAATTATGTTACAAGCATGATTTGGCCATGGCTAAGCAAATACGTGCTACAGCGCAAATTAGTCGGCATTTATCTTCGATTTTGACGATCTTCGTAGTCGAGTTGCTTTCATACCTGTTTTCATGGTTTCGACCCCTGTCTGGTCAATGAAGAAAACTAACTTTTCCACATTGTCTCGGGTATTGTATAATATCTTCGTCGTTGTTACCGGTTTCCATAACATAAGAGCTTTAGTTACCAGAACTGTATATGTGATATTGTCTGATATTTATTTATATATATTCAAGTCTCTTTCTCTCCATAAGCCCCAGTGACGGAATGTCACAAACTTCCGAAACAAGTTTTAATTTGGAATTTCCTGTCAGTATAATTTTCCCTTCCTGTGACTTTGTCAATGGAGTGTATAATTAGATTGTTACTCATTTTTCTTGGAGTACAAAGAAAATATTATTTGCAGCAAAAACAGAATTGCTAACATTAGAATTTGCGAGGTTCTTGTTCTTCATCGGTATAACGTAAAGATATGAAGTACGGCATTGCGAGGAGGCTTCTTTTGTGCACCACATTGTACATTCGATTTTGAGTAATCAATTGTAAGTATATGCATACTATATACTTCGAGACTTCTACTTGCTACATTCCTGGCACATTTTTCTCCCTTCCTGGACTCGCAATAGTCATTACTTTAAGTATTCTGTATAATTTATTTACTGTTTCATCTGTTAAAATTTTCAGGTCGGAGAGTACAGACTACACTTTGACTACAGCTTATCAGAAAGATACATCATTGACCTTACGAACGTACACCTTGGTCTAATCAGCAAAGTTAATCCCGTTGTGGTAAAGAAAGCCGAAGTTTTATGCACGGTAAGTGTCAGCCCCATTATTAAACTTTACACGTCTTTTGTAAGTCTTTAAACACGCTACGTAAAGCGGTTACCTATCAGTACTCCGAAATGACATTTTCCAGACGTTTGGTCGAAATTTCATAACCTCGAAAGTAATTTTGAGAGGAAAATGTTTTTTCTTTTAAACCTAACTTAATCTAACCTAACCGAACCTAATTGTGTCTTTGCGATAAACATCCAACATATCCTGAAAGAACAACTCTTTTGTTATAATGCGATTTTCGATGTAATGAAAATTCGAACAAAAAATAATTTCGACTTTGTGATAGGTTACCACGTAAAGCTGCTTCTGGTTGGTAATAACAACGACGAGGTCTATGATAATAATAACAAGAAGAATAATAATAATGCGCCTGATATTTCAATTACCTTGTTTCTATATCAGACAAATCTGTATACAATAATGTGATGGTACACAACAAAATTCCGAAGGCATTATTATTCACAACTACCAGCAGTCTTTCAATGGGGGTAAATGGGTAAAAATAAAATTGTTAGTAGCAGTAGAGCTCCCTGTGAAAGAATTCGTTTAGGGAAGTACTGCCATCTTATTTCATGGAACTTGTCAACTTATCTGTCAGGGTGACGGGCGCAGTGGCAGTGTCTCTCAGATCTTTGCGATTTACAGCTCTGAGTGACAATGCTACTACTGTTAGCATTACTGCGGGCCTGGTGAAATTACAAGCACATGAGACTTGCCAACTTATGTCTCAGGATAAAGTACGCAGTGACAGTGCCCTCAGACGAGTTTTACCTTTAAACTGACGATATAATAATGATGCGCTCGATAATGCAGATGCAGCTATGAGTATCATGTTCCATTCCTTGATTGCGCAGTGGTACAGCCTTAAGGATGTTGTCGCACTAGTTGTATTTCGACTGTATCCAACTGAAAAAATAGCAGCTGTAATTGAATACAGTCGGAGTGACTTCACCGTGGCAACTGCGCGCCAGTTTTGCTGTCAGTGGACAGTTGTGATCAGTAGCCATGAAGTCCTGCTGTGAACATTGGCGTGCAGTCTTGCCGACCGTCCAAATTTTTCTGCACTTTTAGCGTAAAATAAAAAATAAAAAGCTACAACGCTTAAAAGGTTAATAATTTTTGAACGGTTGATAAGATTTTTTTAGTAGATATGTAAAATTTTTGTATCAAATTGTAACAACAAACTATTACGAAAAAAAATCATAAACAAAATTGGTATTGTTTACTTAAAAAAAATATTTCTGTTTATACTTTATGAGAATTTTGCTCTCAACTTTCAGGAAGGTTTTGGTACAAAAATAAAAGGCATTCATATACTGAATGCGCCTCCATTCGTCGATCGTATAGTGTTTTTACTGAAGCAGGCTTTAAGAGAGAAGGTTGCTAGTAGATTGCACGTCCACAGTTCTTATGAGGATCTACATAAGCATATTCCTAAGGAAATTTTACCAAAGGAGTATGATGGCGACGAGGAATCTTGTTCTCAATTAGCTGGTGAGTAACTTATAAACCTATGTATATAAAAAAACCTACCTATATTCGATACCTCCCAAGTAAGTTAATATCTCTTTATGCTTTTTAACTTAAATAGATTTTTTAAAGTGTTTTTATGGATTCCATATTTAAAAGTAAAGAAATCACTTTGTTGCTATGTTAGTTTCAAACATGGAACCTATAATATACATAAAAAAGAATATATTTATGTTAAAAAGCAAACACTGGT